CCCCCCAGCCACAAGAAGGGCCAGGCTGGGGATACCAATTCGCACAAGACCACCCTACGACCCCAGAAGCAGGGGGAGCCCGCGGCAGCGACAGCAGCGGCAGCAGCCAGTCGTCACCCACTGAAAGCTCGGACACATCAAACGGGGACCATACCTGGAACGACCACACGCAGCTCCCCACCGACACACATGCAGACACGACGGGGGAGAAAGCCGCCAACCAAGGGGACGAGTGGGAAGCCAGAGCCACCCGCGACCTCGACGCACCGCACAGGCCAGCCAACCAGCAGCAAGGTGCGCCAACCCATGACCAGGGCGCATGCGGCAGCGCCACACAGCCGCCGGCGCCCATGCCCAGACACCAGCCGCCGACTCAACCAATCACAGCACCCTCGAACAACACGATGAAGCACTCAACTACCCGCCGCACATACAAGTTTCCCCCAACGCGGCCTACACGATGTACCAGCTCACACATGGTTGTTGGGAAACCGTCGTGCAGTACCACCCAGACTACATCCCTGATATGGGGGATGAAAATCCCCAAGCCGACCCTACCACTGGCCTACATGTGGCCATGCAGGGGGACCGTGGCCCTGCTGACACAGCACCCCCGTTCAGCGCGGGCACGCGCATCCGCTTCTCCCAGCACACAACCATGAACCTGGCAGCTTCATGATAGCGGAGGGGGACAAACTGTCCTTCGGAAGGGGGAAAGCCGGGCACTGGTACATGGAGCTTGAGCAATACAGTACCACAAGCAGCCCCGAGATGCAGCAAGCGCGACAACACGTTGCACAAAGAAAACGCGGCCGGGGGAGCGCCTCGTCTACAACCACCCCAGCCGAGAACTCCAAGCCAACACCACCAGCCAAGCCACAGACACAGCCCACACTGCCCGCCGGCCAACAACGCAACCACACAGCCCCGTCCTCCACGGACCCGCCCCCTCGAGCGGCTGCACCGGACCCCTCCCACACTCCAGACAACAGCAGCCCCAAGCACAAAGCTGCAGCAGCCAAACAAACCTTCTACGACACTGCCAAAAGCAAGACCGTGCCTGTGCCTGACACGACTCAGGGGGAACAACACCAGCAGCACCCCCATCAACAGCAAGCACACGAACCACAGGGCACACACCCCCTCCTGGATGGTAGGCCGCTCCGCAGGGGGCAGCAGCAACGCCTACCCGACAGTACAACGCACAGCCAACACCCCACTGCGCCATCCCCCACGGACGATACCCACTTCTACGTTCTCGCTAAGGACAAGCGAGACATTGGCGGCAGAAGCAAGCCCAACCCCAGCCCAACGCCGTCCCCACCCACGCCGGACCATGATGTCCGTAACCTGATGCAGAGAGAGATTCAGCGAGACCGCGCCGTAGAGCCGCCGAGGACCGGGGGGGAAACAACGGCACCTCATCCACCCACAGCTACAGGCAATCCGCAACCACCCGCCACCACCATTCAACAAACACCTGCCACTGCAAGCTACAACCAACCTCAAGAGCCACAAGCAGCCAATACCCACACAACCCCACTTACGATCGCAGCAAGCGACCACACCACCCTGACAATGCCTGGACAAGCAAACACGGCGAGCAACCACATATATCCACCACCGCACTCCTACCTCCCCACGGAGGGGAAACCAATCTGGCAGCAGCTGGAAACACACCTCATCGCCATCAGGCGCCTCTCAGAACACCTGCCCGGGGGAAGACCTATATACAAGACATTGCAGACAGTGCGCTCGTGGATGTCCTCCTCTACTCGGATGCAGATGCACACATTGCAGCAGTCTCCGCAGACATGACAGACAGGGGGAGCACACAGGGGGAAAACGCTGAACGTCTACCCAAAAGGCGCAAACCCCCCCCGGGGAAGATGACGGCGACCCATGCCATTCGCCGGATGGCGGACCTTGCCAGAATGCAGCTTTCGCAGCATGCCCATGCGAACATATGCCATGACGAGTTCACTCCATGCATCGACTCTCTTGTGCAATGGCTACAACGCCTCGCAGGGGAATGGATAGCAGAAAGGGGGATCCCCTCACTTATGCGCTTGCTCCGCGAGTTGCTCCTCAAGATCGCCGGGGGGAGCGTAGCCATGGAAGCAGATGACTGGCGCCAACTACGTGATGTGTGCCTCTCGCTCCAAGCCCTCCTCGATGCCACAGAAGGGGGAACGGCGCTGGACCATGACCGGTCTACTGACGTGGTGAACTATGAGATCGCTCTCGACCAACTTCGTGCGGACCTCCCCTCCTGGGGGAATGCAGTGCGACAAGACGTCCAAACAAGACTCCTGGCGCTGCTGCACCAGAACTCTGCTCTACTGACCTCCAGCAGCGGGGGAACTGGTGCCACAGGCTCACAGCAACCTTGGTACGGTATGGGAGATGCAGCACGTGCAGAGCAGCCTACACAGATGGAGGACGACGCCGCGGGGGATGCAGATGACCTGTCGGATGCCTCCCATCGCCGACGACGTGCTCTGGCCGAGCACATTCACGAGTACTTCTGAAAGCTTGCCGGCAGTGAAAGCTTCGGCTAGGGGGATCTCAACTGTTTTGGGGGATTCCCAGGTGTGTTCGCTAGTCGGTTGGCTCTTTTTTCAGTCTGTTGCCCCAAGGAGATCCTTTTAGCAGTAAAGAGCGGAAGAGGCCCTTCCAGACGTTGTGGTTCTCTTAGTGTTTCCTTGCTTGGCATGATCCAGTCTACCGTTACAGTTGTCATCCTTTTCGAAAGGGGGAACCTCGCCGCCTACAACGTACTACGAGGCAGTATCAAACGATGCATGCCAAAGTTGTCGTCTCACTTCAGCAGCTCTCCTCCCTCATGTCTTACTTATGTCATCGTAGTTGTTTTTGCTGTCTGTGGTGGCATTGTTGATCCCGGAGCACACCAGGGAGAGAGCCATGACACTTCCTTTCTGCCACATAGTTAGGGGGACAAGCCGCTGCATTATTTGCTGTGTCACTTGTACGCTAGCATGTTCTATCGTTTGTGCATGTCCGCCCTTAACACTACAGCGTGGCCCAGAAAGGGGGAACCAACGGTACATACTTGCTTCGCTCGCAAAGATGTTGGGGAACCCATCCTGAACATGAACTCGTACCATTCTTATCTAGGTGTACTTACGTTGCAACCATATCTTTTTGTCTTCTCTTCCACTGATGGGGGAACCATATCTTTTTCCGAGCTCTGACTGTTGTTGCCCCTTAAAGCCTCTAANNCCTGACAAGCCTCCTGAACCCCGAAGTGAAGTGAAGTGAAGAGAAGAGAGGAGAGAGAGAGAGAGAGAGGGAGAGGAAGTGGGGACTGGAGTGAGAGAGAGAGAGAGAGATAAATAAATACATAAATAAATAAATATAAATAAATATATATATATATACATATATGTATATATGTATATATATATATAATCGATATCGATCTGACCAATCGAAAAACTGAAAATCTCTACGGCTGGGCCTGTGTGGTTATGCATGTCCTGGATGTTACTGCGTCGTGGGCATCGCGGCTGTGCATAGATAGCATGAGACCTGGCCTGCCCAGGAGAGGAGGAGCCAGAAAAGCAGGCTCGGGCAAGTTGCGTCCGGCCTTGCCAAGCTGCCAGTTTTCGTCGAAGTCTGCAATTACCCTTCGCCAATCAGTTCGTTCGGGTTCGTTCTCTGACAGATCTGTGATCCTTGGCTCTGCATGGGACAGCAGACGTGCTCCCGCATCTCCCGCCATTTCCGGGAAAGTGCAAACGAGTGCACATGTGGGAAAAGGCGCAGGAGGTGAAGTCCGACGGTCCAGGCATTCCGCGCGGAGAGTGTCACCGATCACGGAGCAGCTGCAAAGTGACCAAAGACCGGATGCAGGCACTCCCGCCAAGCTTTCGGATCGGCTGAGCTGGGAGAAGATCGAGGCTGTGTGGAGCCATGTGTTTGCCTGTGCTCGTGTGAGACATTCTGAGATTGTGCAGTTACAGGCCATGTCAAACGAAGAGCGGTTTGCACTATCACAGGCGAAGTGAGCCGTTCCATACCTGCAAGACAGCGTGCAACCTGCTCATCTTCGCAGGAGGTCGGTCCAGCATTTGGACTGTCAGTGGCCATTGTGGCCGTATGTTATTGGTGTGAGACTTACTGCAAAAGTCCGTTCTGCATTGTGCAGTTCCGGGATGTTGCGGGTGAGTTCTGGCTCCTTATTGAGCAAGCTTCATCGAGAGGTCCATCACGCTTCCTATACTCCTCAACGCCTATCATGACAGCACGGGCGAATGGCCTCGTGTCGAGGATTCTGGAGAATAGAGCGGTGCGCAATGATGACACATTGCAGCCCACAACAGCTGCCAGGAGATTTTTTCGCTTTCGGATGGTGGGAAAGCTGCCGGCGCCGTCGCAGGCCAGACGAGAGAAGAGAGAGAGGAGCAGAGGAGCTGAGGAACCGCTGAGCCACGCTGAAGGCATTCTGGGCCTGGCCGCCTTGCTGAAGCCTCTGCGAATTGCCTGCGCCATCGCCCTGACGCCCTGGACGGCCCCCGGGCTTTGGCGGGAAAGAGAGAAGAGAAGACGTCAGCCTTTGGTGTCGCCATGCCTCGCCTCACTCGCCTCGCGCCCAGGCTGACAACGTCCTGCCTCTCGTGCCCTGGCGATTGGCCTCAGCTCTCTCAGCATCTCTCGGCTCTCTCAGCCGTGCCCTCGCTTTCGACCTGCAGGCTTTCACAGAAGAAGGAGGCGAGGACTGGGAAAAGGGGACTGATATTTGGTCACATGAAGTCACTGCGACCTGTCTGCCGAGGACGAAGCTGGAGAGGCTTAAGATGTGCCACCAGCTTCATTGCCCGTGAGCTATTTTCCAGTACATCCAGCAATATGCTGAGTGCTGCCCGCCATTTTCACTACTTTTCGCGACTGGTCGATCGGACGTTCGGTCGCTTCGTCGCAAGTCCGATTGAAGAGGTGAGGCTCGGAGCCAAGTATAGGTAGTATGACAACTGTGCAGCAGAACCTGTGCATCGCAAAAAATGTTGTCATCGGTGAATTCTGTGGACACACCCAGTGGGGATGAAGCAGAGGCTGTCTGCAGCATGTGGCATGTTTGGGCATGTAGACTAGTTAGAGATTTGCAGCGTCCCGAAATTGCGAGGAACGTAAGAAATGCATAGATGCGAGGGAAGCGGACGGTCTGAACACAAGCTGCATGTGCCGCGCTGCTATAAATGTGTTGTCCGAAAAAGAGAGACAAGTGATTTGTGCTGAGCTGCGCTTTTCATATTTCCGTCTCTTGGCGGAAAACTACAGCTGCACACGAAGCTTTCACTCGATCTGGAAATAGCTCTGCGACGGTGCGCACGGAGGGAGGCGGAAGGCGTTGCTCCGCGGAACGGCAGGGCGCAGAAGCAACAAACATGCAAGCCGCCGCGCTCGAAGAATGCATCTGCAGTAGACATGCTCCTATAGAATAGAAGGATTTAGCGTCATACATCAAGAGGGTTTATGCTCTTGCGGAAGGGTTGGTTTGCAAAACGGTCCGCAGAAGGGACGACATGCAGAGAGTCAGAAACGTGCCAATGCTTCGAGGTGCGGAAGGCTGCGGAAGCAGTGGCGGAAGGGTTGCGCGGAAGGACGCGGAAGGGGTTTATGCGTCCTTGGGATTGAAACCGAAAAAGCTTCGAAACCTCGGGGACCATGGACCCGCGGTGTGAGGCACCAGGGTGAGGCCAGATGGTCGTACAAGTATGTCGACAGCCGGGGAACGCTTTTTTGGTGACGTATGCTGTTAAACAAACCCTTTTCCTGACCGACTTGAAACCAAGGTGTTGAGAAGCGATAAAAAAGCAAGTACTTGGTCCCGGGATGTCCCGGGCTGTCTCGTGTCAACTGGGTGTTTTACGCATCTGCAAGGCATCTACTTCGGGGAACGCATTATAGACTACAGACGTTATATCATCTTATCAAGCTCTGT